TTTTCCGTTAAAAGCATTTGCAGAAAATCATGCCAGTCTAGACGTAGCCAGGCTGTCTACACTGGCGGGTTCTTGCACCAGAAATATGCAAATGAGGCTAAACGTGTTATATCGCTGAGCCTCATTTGCATGCCTAATGAGCTGCCATTTTTGCGGAACAAGCTCTTGCGCCAGAAGGAGTGTCTACACTGCCCCTTCTTGCGCAAGAAAAACCCTCTTGGGCAATGCTGCTGTGCTGATTATTGGCAGGAATAATGGTGTTGCACAAGAGGGTTTTTCTTGCGCAAGAAGGGGCAGTGCAGATGCTCCTTCTGGCACAAGAGCCTCTTCCGCAAAATGGCGGCTCATTAGGTATGCAAATGAGGCTCGGCGATATTCCACACTTAGCCTCATTTGCATATTTCTGGTGCAAGAACCCACCAGTGTAGACATAGCCAGTGTATTTTTACCTACGAAAGCTTATGCCCTAATAAATCTGTTTGTTCTGTTAATCTCAAAGGTCCACAGGACTGCTCATTGTTTTTGCAGATATAGACTTAACGCAGCTCGCCCGCAGAGACTTTTCACCATGTGGCAATGTAAGCATTCGAATGGGAAACTTGCATGTAACTCTAAAGGCAGAAGCTTCAGGGGGTAGCTGAGTTAGTCTACAGGATAAACGTAAAAACCAGCAAATAGTCTGCTAGCTCTTTAAAGACTAACAAAACATGTAGATGGAGTCAAGCTTTTGTTGGCACAGCCCAGTTCTTGAGATGACCAGAGTGGAGGATGTCCAGGACTAAAATAAATAGGGGAGAAGGGAGGGGGGGTGGAAGAAGGAAAAAATAGGAGGGAGGGGGAACAAGAAGTGGCAGTGGGTAAAAAATCAAGGGGATAGCCGAGCTGAAATGTAATAGGAAAAACAAATAGTTTCTAAGCACCTAAAGGCATAGAAGGTGTTTTAAACCAGATGTGAGGAATGCTGAGGTGCCAGAGTACATCGTCAGAGATAAGAAGCACATGGCTGAATAAAGTTGCCTGACAAGTTGTGGGACATGCCTGACTGGAGACACACAATGGCTCTTTTCACATTTAGGGGATTCTAAGTATTAAACTGTCCCTTTTCTCTACCTGAGTTTCAGTGCATCCCAATAGACTCCGGACACAGGACACTAAGTAACATAAGGCAATTAGCTAAAAGATGCCTGTACAGATAGTCGCTGAGTTATGAACACATTGATTTCTGGCTGTTTGTCCTTATGGCCAACCTCCCATTAAGTGCGTCCCCGAGTTATGAATGTGATCCGCGCTTATGAACAGTGCAGTCACATTTAAATGAATGGGGTCCAACTTACGAACAGATCGAGTTACGACCAAGTGCTTGGTACGTAACTCGTTCGTAAGTCGGGGACTATCTGTATATGACACAGACTATTTAAAATGTTTTCACTCCTCAAAAACCCTTTGTCACACAGATTGCACTGGTCTGTGACTTCTTTTCCTTTATTTCTGAGGTGTAACAGGAATTCACTGCATGTTTGTGTACCAGGCTGGGGGAAGTCAGAACAACCCATCACATCTGATACATAGGATCAAATTCCCAATATACAAGTTTATAGACTCGGAGTAAAAAACACACACAGACATTGATTATTTCCAGTACTGTGTAAATTGTCTTTCTTTTATATGCTGCAGCAATAATTTCTTTGTGTTCATATTTATAGTGATCAGTCAGAACATTGGGAGTTTAAAATAATGTGTCCAGTAACAATACTAATTGAAGACCATACCTTATTCAGTACCACATGGGATTCTGTTAGCATTCTTAGGGCTACATATTCCCCTTAGGTCCATGGGATGTGTGAAGAAGTGGAAATTTTCACTCCTATTTTTAAGAATCCCATGGGTGCCTCAGTCTCCTTCTGCACTTTGCATTGCTACCCTGTGGAAGCCAAAGGGTTAACACCGCTTCTGGAAGAGCTTAGGAGATAGGAGGAGCGCATGTCACTTTGCTGTCTGGGTGGAATGATTGGGTCATTAAACTTAAAAAACAAAAACTGGCCGGGTAGCACTTTATAGACCAACAAAACATGTAGATGGGATCATGAGCTTTCGTGGGCACAGCCCACTGCTTCAGATGCCTGGGGTTCTGAAGAAATGGGCTGTGCCCACGAAAGCTCATGATCCCATCGACATATTTTGTTAGTCTATAAAGTGCTACCAGACCATTTGTTGTTTTTTAAGTTTATCCTGTACAGACTAACGCGGCTTCCCCCTGGAGCTTCTGGGTCATTAAAGAAGAGGCTGAAACTCAACCAGGTCAACAGAGGATGTGAAGAGACAATGAGTCCCTCCCCCCGCCCTGCCTGAATGACAGCCTATCACTTATCCTCCCCCCTGCAGGCAGAACAGGAGAACAAAAGCAACCAGGTGGCAGGAATAAGGGCTCCTGTGCAGGCACTCAGCAGCTCTCCTCTGGAATGAAGACGAAGAGCCAGAGCCAGAAGTAAAAACAACTCCCACTGAATTGGCACTGCCAGGATGGACTATGCCTGACCTGTTACTTTCCTGGGCTAACCTAAGAACGTATTGATTCCATAGCCAGACAAATTGTTACCTTCTTTGAAAAGGCCACCTCTGTTGCTGAACAACTCATTGGGAGGTCTAGTACCGACGGGGTCCAGTACCAACCTCCCGGAGCCAGAAGTAAAAACAACTCCCACTGAATTGGCACTGCCAGGATGGACTATGCCTGACCTGTTACTTTCCTGGGCTAACCTAAGAACGTATTGATTCCATAGCCAGACAAATTGTTACCTTCTTTGAAAAGGCCACCTCTGTTGCTGAACAACTCATTGGGAGGTCTAGTACCGACGGGGTCCAGTACCAACCTCCCGCAGGCAT